CTGTAGGGAGGCAGCGTAGCAAGTAGGTAGGCGGCGTAGCAAGTAGGTGGGTGGGTGGCGTAGCAAGTTGGTAGGTAGCGTAGCAAGTAGGTAGGTGGCGTAGCAAGTAGGTGGGTGGGTGGCGTAGCAAGTAGGTAGGTGGCGTAGCAAGTAGGTGGGTGGGTGGCGTAGCAAGTTGGTAGGTAGCGTAGCAAGTAGGTAGGTGGCGTAGCAAGTATGTGGGTGGGTGGCGTAGCAAGTAGGTAGGTGGCGTAGCAAGTAGGTGGGTGGGTGGCGTAGCAAGTAGGCAGCGTAGCAAGTAGGTAGGTAGCGTAGCAAGTAGGTAGGTAGCGTAGCAAGTAGGTAGGTAGCGTAGCAAGTAGGTAGGTGGCGTAGCAAGTAGGTAGCGTAGCAAGTAGGTAGGTGGCGTAGCAAGTAGGTGGGTGGGTGGCGTAGCAAGTAGGTAGGTAGCGTAGCAAGTAGGTAGGTAGCGTAGCAAGTAGGTAGCGTAGCAAGTAGGTAGGTGGCGTAGCAAGTAGGTGGGTGGGTGGCGTAGCAAGTAGGTAGGTAGCGTAGCAAGTAGGTGGGTGGGTGGCGTAGCAAGTAGGTAGGTAGCGTAGCAAGTAGGTAGGTAGCGTAGCAAGTAGGTAGCGTAGCAAGTAGGTGGGTGGCGTAGCAAGTAGGTGGGTGGGTGGCGTAGCAAGTAGGTAGGTAGCGTAGCAAGTAGGTAGGTAGCGTAGCAAGTAGGTGGGTGGCGTAGCAAGTAGGTAGCGTAGCAAGTAGGTAGGTGGCGTAGCAAGTAGGTAGGTAGCGTAGCAAGTAGGTAGGTAGCGTAGCAAGTAGGTAGCGTAGCAAGTAGGTAGGTGGCGTAGCAAGTAGGTGGGTGGGTGGCGTAGCAAGTAGGTAGGCAGCGTAGCAAGTAGGTAGCGTAGCAAGTAGGTGGGTGGGTGGCGTAGCAAGTAGGTAGGTAGCGTAGCAAGTAGGTAGGTGGCGTAGCAAGTAGGTAGGTAGCGTAGCAAGTAGGTAGCGTAGCAAGTAGGTAGGTGGCGTAGCAAGTAGGTGGGTGGGTGGCGTAGATCGCCTATCGGAGCACGAGTTTGCAGCTCGTAGACAGGCCGGTCCAACGGGGCCGTCCATAAATGACGTCACGCGATTTTGGACGCATTTTTACCCCCCCCCACCCCCAACCCTCGTCACACGGCGTCACAAATGTCTAACCCCTCCCCCCCCCCCGCAGGTGCGTGACGTCATTTATGGACGGCCCCAAAGACAAAGATTCCCGCCGTATCGCCTCGAACGGACTGCTGCTGGGGGGTGGGGCAAGTCGCTGCCCTTGAGTGCCACGTGACTCGTCTTGCGGCTGAGTCGACCCACAGGACCCGCTACACTACCCGCTACGCTACCCGCTACGCTACACGTTACACTACCCGCTACACTACCCGCTACACTACCCGCTACGCTACCTGTACGCTACCCGCTACACTACCCGCTACGCTACACGTTACACTACCCGCTACGCTACCCAAGACAAAGATCCTCCCGTGTGGCCTTAACATACTTCACACTTAGGGGAGACACATACTCATTAGCTGATTACCACCCCCCCCCGCCCCCCATACGCAAGCGTGCGCATTGGGATCGACCTCCCCCCCCCCCCTCCATGCGTACGCGCTAAATGGATGGCCCCTAGCCACGTGGGGGATGCACGGGGGGTCACGTGGGGGATGCGCGGGGGGTCACGGGAATGAGAGACTCCTCGGAGCCCGCATGAGTGGGGATGGTGGTGGTGGTGGTGACGGTGGTGATGGTGGTGATGGTGGTGGTGGTGACGGTGGTGGTGGTGGTGATGGTGGTGGTGGTGATGGTGGTGGTGGTGACGGTGGTGGTGATGGTGGTGGTGGTGACGGTAGTGGTGGTGGCGGTGGTGGTGGTGACGGTGGTGGTGATGGTGGTGGTGGTGACGGTAGTGGTGGTGACGGTGGTGGTGGTGACGGTGGTGGTGGTGACGGTGGTGGTGGTGACGGTGGTGGTGGTGACGGTGGTGGTGATGGTGGTGGTGATGGTGGTGACGGTGGTGGTGGTGACGGTGGTGGTAGTGGTGGTAACGGTGGTGGTGATGGTGGTGACGGTGGTGACGGTGGTGGTGGTGGTGGCGGTGATGGTGGTGACGGTGGTGGTGGTGACGGTGGTGGTGGGGATGGTGGTGACGGTGGTGGTGACGGTGGTGATGGTGGTGACGGTGGTGGTGGTGACGGTGGTGGTGGTGGTGACGGTGGTGGTGGTGACGGTGGTGGTGACGGTGGTGATGGTGGTGACGGTGGTGACGGTGGTGACGGTGGTGGTGGTGACGGTGGTGGTGGTGACGGTGGTGGTGGTGACGGTGGTGGTGGTGGTGACGGTGGTGACGGTGGTGGTGGTGACGGTGGTGGTGACGGTGGTTGTGGTGGTGACGGTGGTGGTGACGGTGGTGGTGGTGACGGTGGTTGTGGTGGTGACGGTGGTGACGGTGACAGTGATGGTTGTGACGGTGGTGGTGGTGGTGATTGCCGGTCATTATGACTGAGTGGTGATTACCTGTCAACCCCTTGTCAGTGCCCTACCTCATTACAGAGCAATTCAGACCGTGTTGGTCACCCCGTGCCCTTTATAAATCTCAACATTCATCCTACAAAGTCCCATCACAAGGGCGAAATACAATCGAATAGACAACTTTTATGGCGGGGATTTTGGCCCGTATCGAAACGGCTTGTAGCGCCGCGTGCACTTGAACACTGAACTCCCCTCGCACAAGGATCCGGGGTGAACCGTCTGGCTTGACAGGTGTGGTGGTGACGGCCCAACGGGAGGGAACGCGCCAGGGAGTTGGATGTCTCAAGATTCCCCCGCGGGACCTCCGGAAAGTCACTTCGGGTCACCCCGAGGTCACTCGAGGCTCCGTGCCACGCTCTCGTGAGCCCTTCCGGCTGGTTCCACAAAACAGGCCTCGGGACATTGTGAAATCGTGCACGGTAAGTCCAAAGCGGAACGCGCGCCCACCGTTACAACCCCGAACGCGCGCCCACCGCTATAACGTGGAACACGTGCCCACCGCTATAACGTGGAACACGTGCCCACCGCTATAACGTGGAACACGTGCCCACCGCTATAACGTGGAACACGTGCCCACCGCTATAACGTGGAACACGTGCCCACCGCTATAACGTGGAACACGTGCCCACCGCTATAACGTGGAACACGTGCCCACCGCTATAACGTGGAACACGTGCCCACCGCTATAACGTGGAACACGTGCCCACCGCTATAACGTGGAACACGTGCCCACCGCTATAACGTGGAACACGTGCCCACCGCTATAACGTGGAACACGTGCCCACCGCTATAACGTGGAACACGTGCCCGCCGCTATAACGTGGTCTCTGAGCGGTCGCCGATGACGAACTACTTTCTTGAGCTGCGCGGCTGAGCGGTTCCGGAGACACGGCACGCGGAGTGGGACAGTGACTCGACAGAGTGTTCTCATCGCAGGCCGCCGGCTGTGTTAGTGCCGACTGTGTTAGTGCCGACTGTGTTAGTGCCGACTGTGTTAGTGCCGACTGTGTTAGTGCCGACTGTGTTAGTGCCGACTGTGTTAGTGCCGACTGTGTTAGTGCCGACTGTGTTAGTGCCGACTGTGTTAGTGCCGACTGTGTTAGTGCCGACTGTGTTAGTGCCGACTGTGTTAGTGCCAACGTGTTAGTGCCGACTGTGTTAGTGCCGACTGTGTTAGTGCCAACGTGTTAGTGCTAACGTGTTAGTGCCGACTGTGTTAGTGCCAACTGTGTTAGTGCCAACGTGTTAGTGCCGACTGTGTTAGCGCCAACGTGTTAGTGCCAACGTGATTCGCGCCTGCAAACGAAGTTGCGGGTTGCCCGGGACATTTAGACGTGCGGATACCGTGGGAGGAGGACGGCCACCGTGGAGACGGAGCGATGAGATCACGACTATTCCCGTAAATTAACAGCAAAACCCACGGACGATAACTGGTATTGGTGTTGGCCGTAACAATCCCCCAATGATGAAAAATCCCCGACAAATCACTCACTCCCAAATGGATCGCACGCAGCGGCGGCAGCAGTAAGAGCAATATCGACTCCACCCTAACACCCGCTCCTGCAAAACCGGCAGGACCCTCCTGGACAACGCGTCTTGAGACTCAGGCCTTTCTGGGTCAAACGAGCTGAATCACCATCGTCATCCTCATAATGATATTGTACCAGTGTATGTATCCGTGTGTCTGCACGCACCTCCAATTAGCACGGTTGGTTACGTACGGTGCAAAAGAAGTTCAACACACATACATACTGCCCATAGACTAACACTTCCCATAAACTAACACTGCCCACAGACTAACACTTCCCATAAACTAACACTGCCCACAGACTAACACTACCCATAGACTAACACTACTCACAGACTAACACTACTCATAGACTCAACACTTCCCATAGACTCAACACAACACATAGACTCAACACTTCCCATAGACTAACACTACCCATAGACTAACACTACCCATAGACAAACACTACCCATAGACTAACACTACCCACAGACTAACACTACCCATAGACTCAACACTTCCCATAGACTCAACACAACACATAGACTCAACACTTCCCATAGACTAACACTTCCCATAGACTAACACTACCCATAGACTAACACTACCCATAGACTAACACTACCCATAGACAAACACTACCCATAGACTAACACTGCCCATAGACTAACACTACCCATAGACTAACACTACCCATAGACTAACACTACCCATAGATAAACACTACCCATAGACTAACACTGTCCAGAGACTAACACTACCCATAGACTAACACTACCCATAGACTAACACTACCCATAGACTAACACTACCCATAGACAAACACTACCCATAGACTAACACTGCCCATAGACTAACTCTACCCATAGACTAACACCACCCATAGACAAACACTACCCATAGACTAACACTACCCATAGAC